TACAAGGGGAAATAGTTCCATCTTCTCTTGATTTTTTTGTTTCACCCTCTCAGCGCCACAATGGAACGTCTTTCGCGTGATAAGAAAGTTGGGCCAATGCATTTGGGCCTCTCGTTACAGGTTTATTCGACCGCTGGTTGCGATGAGCGTGATTAGCAGCTACACGACTGGTTTCACGTGTCACGGAGGTTCGAGAGATTCTGGTTGCGGTTAGTGACTGGCGCATTTAGCATTACCAAGTGAATATGTATCCACCGCGGCAAAACCTTTAGGATTTGATTCACGTTAGATTTAGACCTGGAATGAGCACCATTGATTCCCTGGTTGTGCTTGTAGGCAGTCGCATGTGCTTTCCTCAAGCTCTTTGTAGCACTTAATACCAGGCCTTTCCAGCGTCTATTGACTACCTCGGTACAGTAATGTTGCGATTCGTCGTTCGATGGTGTTTCCATCGGTCCTATTCGATCGATCACAGTTCTTCTGAACTCTCTGTAACTGGCCAAGAGTGCTAGCAACCAATCTATCTCGTCGTCCCTAACGGCTACGGGTTTTTTCACCTGTGCTTTTTTCCATCCACACAAGTGAGTGCGAAGTCAGTCACTCCGTTTGTGTTTGAAATTTTCTGAGGACATTGTTGCGGTCGTGGTGGCGTCAAACGACAAAACCCTGTGTATTTTTCGATGATTCAAAAGATTCAGAGCTGGTACTTCTTAAATGGCTGTGCTTAAATGTCAGCAAGTGTTGGGCGATGATCAGTCAACTGCACTTTTGAATGTGGCTTCGACGACCTTCAACATCAGGCAGTCCATCTATTCACAGATATACTCTTTCCTTTACTTTGGAGTACATCTGAACAATCGGTTGACTTGGCCTGATAAAAATTAATTGACTCAGCGATACGTAATATGTGTAATATGAGTTAGGGTCGATATTAGAATTCCTTTAATTTGTATCTCAGCGTTTCAATCACAAAACAGTGCCCTCTTTTAGGAAAAAAGAGAGTTAGCAATTTGACTCTGCGTGAGGATGGGAACAACATCCTTTAAACGCTGC